ATAGGCCTAGAATTTTTAAAAAAATATTTTTTCCAAGATTCAATAGGCGTGAATTTTTTAAAACCTATTTTTTTCGAAGATTCAATAGGCGTGACATATGATCGCTGCCCTGGCCATGACATTAAAATTCTGCTAGGAGATTTTAATGCGAAAATCGGAAGGGAAAATATATTTGGCCCCACCGTCGGAAAATTCAGCCTTCATGAAGAAACACCCGACAACGGCATGAGGTTGATTGACTTCGCGGCAGCAAAAAACATGGTAGTTAGCAGCACCAGATTCAAGCATCTCGATATACACAAGTCCTCCTGGATTTCCTTCCTGATCAAGCAACGAGAAATCAAATTGATCATGTTTTGATAGACGGAAGGCATTCATCCAGTGTATTAGACGTTCGATCGATCCGAGGAGCGAATATCGGTTCTACCTTGTAGTGGTCCGAAATCCGTGGTACGATCAGGAGTGTCGTAATGCTACTGATATGAAGAACGCAGCGTATAGGGAAACCCTGCGGACAGTAGCAACACATAATGCGATGGAGAACTATCGGTAGAAAAGGAGAGAGGAGAAACGTATATTCAGAAAAAGAAGAAAGAACAAGAAAAACGTGAGCGTGAGCAAATCGAGATGTACAGGGGTTAGAATGAACTCCAGAAAACACCAAACCGAAGGTACATCCTCCTGCAGAGACGATGAAGGGAACCTGGTGACAGATACAGATAGCGTGTTGAGGATCTGGAAGGAGCATTTTGAAAAGCTTCTGGTATCAAATAGTGGCGGTGAAGAAGGTACTCCAGAATAAGAGATGATGGTATAGAGTGTATACCACCTAGCCAAAACATGTTACTCGCCTACGCCGATGACATCGATATTATGGGTCGAACATTGCGTGCGGTAACAGCCACCTTTGAACAAATTGAGAAGGAGTCTGGCAAAGTGGGTGTGGCAGTAAGCGGCGAGAAGACCAAGCTGATGGTATCGGCAGTAGACTCGGACCAACTGTGGAACTTGAGAACTACAGCTTCGAGGTAGTTTAAGACTTTATTTACCTTGGTACCGCCATAAATAAAACGAATGACATCAGTTTTGAAATTCGGAGAGGGATTGTGATAGCCAACAGACTTCTATGGTCTAAGTAAGCAGTTTAGAAACAAGGCCACCTCCCGCCAGACCAAACTCACACTTTACAAGACGCTGATACCAAAGTGCTGTTATATGGGTCTGAAGCTTGGGTACTTGCGCAAGCAGATGAGGCAGCTCTTGGGGTGTTTGAACGAAAAATTCTCCGAAAGATCTAAGGGCCGATCTGCGTCACGAGCTTTACAATTCATACGCGGACATCGACATAGTCAGTCGTATTGAGCTGCAGCGACTACGATGGCTAGGCCATGTTCTGCGAATGAATGAGAATGCCCCAGCTCAAAAGGCATATAAAAGCGAGCCTACTGATGGTTCCCGTAGAAGGGGAAGGCCACGAATCAGATGGAAAGACCAAGTAGAAAACAACGTCTTGGAACGTGGTCTTTCTAATTGGAGGAGATGCGCACAAGACCGACGCACTTGGAAATCTTTGTTAAGCTCGGCTTATGGAACAACCGTTCCGTAACAATCCAACTAAGTAAGTAAGCAATAGGCGTGGATTTTTTAAAAAATATTTTTTGTTCAAAAATCCACTGGCGCGGAAATATATGAGTAGCTCCATATAATATATATTTAAAGTAAACAACAACAAAGTACAGTAATACTGATTAATAAGTTGTAAATTAAATCTGTCAATTGTCTTCCTCTAGAGCCTATAATTTTTCTTTTTGTTGTTCTTAGCATCACTCATGCAGTATAAAAATCTATTAATTGCGCTTTCATTCGATTGTTTCCCGAGAATTTGTTTACGTTTCAATTATTTTTTCCTGATAATGCAGCCAGTCAATGACTAGTGCAATTTTTTCGCGCGCTTGAATGCTATTCAGCAAAATATAACAATCGAGTGATAAGATTTTATAGGCCTACACATCGTCTTATCACAGAAACTAAAAGAAAAACTAGATGACATCTGTTAACCAAAAATGTTGATGAGACTAATTTTTTCAAATATAATAATTTGTAATCACCCTCCAACTTTATCATGGCTATATTACTACGCCACAATTGTCGGGTTTCAGATAACAAAAAATGTAGGAAAATTGGTTTCAGGTTATTCAACTCCCCCATATTTGTTTTTTCGAGGCGAAGCTGTCATTATTTTATTATTTTTCTAAATTGCAATTGAAAACAATATACCGACGAATTAATGACAAAATAATTGGGTGAATGATATTTGTTTTCTTTTTTCATATATGTGTCAAATGTGTTGAATTGCACGCTTGACTTAATTTGAACAGAATATGAGACATAGACGGTAAATTAATATTTTACAGTGCCAAAAATTTTAATTCAAAAATTAAAAACCTATATTCAGCTGTTATAAATGTTATTAAGCAAACGAATTTATCATTAGATATAAATAAATTAATATGTGGGAACAATTCTGCCCCTTGAAAATTATAATCAGCTATTATATATTGAATTCAGCTAATCAAAATGGATATTCAGCTACTAAAAATCGTATTCAGCTGGCTGAAAATGGAATTAAGCTAATAAACATCTAATTCCGCTAGCTTAAAATGCTATACAGCGGTAATAAATTGTATTCCGCTTATCACAAATTATATTCAGCTTCGAAAAAATCGAATTCTAATAGTCGAAAATAGCATTCAGCTACTGAAAATCTTATTCAGCTAATCAAAATGTATATTCAGCATCGACAAATCAAATTTACCTTTTTAAAAATAATATTTAGCTACATAAAATCCAATTCAGCTAGCTAGAAATACTCTTCAGCTATTAAAAATTAAATTCAGCTTGTTGGAAATACTATTCAGCTATTATAAATTGAATTCGGCTAGCTGGAAATACTATTCAGCTATTATAAAATGATTTCAGCTGACTGTAAATACTATTCACCTCATAAAAAACTATACAGCTATTATAAATTGAATTCAGCTGGCTGGAAATACTATTCAGCTACTTAAAATCTAAATCATCTGGCTGGAATTACTATTCAGCTATTATAAATTGAATTCAGCTGGATAGAAATACTATTCAATTATAAAAAAATTAATTCAGCTAGCTGGAAATACTATTCAGCTATTATAAAATGAATACAACTGGCTGAAAATATTATTCAGCTATTATAAATTGAATTCAGATAGCTGGTAATAGTATTCAGCTACTTAAAATTTAATTCAGCTGCCTGGAAATACTATTCAGCTAATAAAAATTGAATTCAGCTCGTCGAAAATACTATTCAGCTATTATAAATTGAATTTAGCTAGCTGAAAATACTATCCAGCTATTATAAACTGAATTCAGCTGGCTAGAAATTCTATGCAGATTTTAAAAATTGAATTCAGCTAGCTAGAAATGCTATTCAGCTATTATAAAATGAATTCAGCTGGCTGGAAATACTATTCAGCTATAATAAATTGAATTCAGCTGGCTGGAAATACTATTCAGCTATTATAAATTGAATTCAGCTAGTTGGAAATACTATTCAGCTATTATAAATTGAATTCAGCTAGTTGGAAATACTATTCAGCTATTATGAAATGTATTCAGCTGGTTGAAAATAATTATTAACTACTAAAAATCATATTCAGCTGATTAAAAATATCATTCTGCGAATAAAAATTCAATTTAGCGGACTGAAAATAATATTTATTAAAATAATATTTTATTATAACATTAATTCAGCTGATTGAAAATTATATTCTGTAAGTCACAAATTGTATTCATCTACTTAAAATCAAATTAAGCAGCTTTAAAATAACTTATAAAATTCAGCAGCTAAATATCAAGTTCTGCTGGTCAAAATTGTTATTTAGACAATAGAAATCGTATTCGGACGAACAAACATTTCATTCAGCTGAATGAAAAATAAATTAAGCCGCTGAAAATCGAATTCAGCTAGTCAAAATTTGTATTCAGATTCTAAAAATCGTATTCAACTTCTAATTCAGCTGACTGAAATTTCTATTCAGCTACAAAAATGCAATTCAGCTAAGCAATGATTTTTCGCCACTACAATTTTTCAATTTTTTTATTTACTAAATAAATTTTACGGTGATAAAATTCAATTCAGCTGTCTAAGAATTATATTCAGCTACAAAAAATGCAATTCAGCCAGTGAAACATTTTTCGCAAGCCCAAATTTTCAATATTTCTGTTATTACATAAAACGAACTTAGCTAAAAATCAAATTCAGCTGACTGAAAATTATATTCAGCTAGCGAAAATCCAATTCAGCTAGGCAAACATTTTTCGCAAGCATTCATTTTCAATTTTTGTATTTAATAAATAAATTTTAAAGTGATAAAATTCAATTCAGCTGCCTAAGAATTATATTCAGCTACAAAAAATACAATTCAGCTATGTAATAAAATTTTCGCAAGCAGAAATTTACAATATTTTTGTTATTAAATAAATCTTACATTGCTGAAAATCTAATTCAGCTAACTAAGAATTCTATTCAGCTACCATAAATGCAATTCAGCTAGCTGAATTTGTAAAAAATCATTTTTATGACATACAAAATTTGATTTACAGGAAAAAATATTTCAATTCAGCTATCAATTTCATTAGATTTAGCTGAAAAAACTGCATAAATCCAATTCAGCTAAGTATGTAGTTATTACTATCATAATACTTAGCTGAATATAAAAAAATCATTAAATATTCATTCCCCCAGACAAATTGACAATTACTTCTCACTTAAATATTCACACATAAACAATAATTATATTCAGCAGCTAGCTAGCTGAACAAAATCTAATTCAGCCATATGTTCAAATTTTCGAGACAAAAATTAATTTATTATTCAGCCGTACAAATTTGCTGAATATACTAGAAATCCATTTTCCAATTAATTCACCTGTCTGTCCATTAAAATTATTTGATTTACTTACCACCATTCACGCATGGCTTCGACATCAGGCGATGAACTTGTACCACCTGGGCCAGGAGCCGAGGATGCATTGCCACCGGCATTCAAACGATTAACGCTTAAATGGTCTTTGGCTGTGCTTGAGGGTGGACACTCCAGGGCTGGTGTTACACCAACACTACTCACCCCAGCTGATGAGGTGAGTGGTGTAGTTGTGGTGGTAGTGGTCGAGGTGCTGCTGCAGTTGTTGGTGGTGATGGAATGGTTGCTGTTGCTGTCGATGCCACTTTTGCTACGTCTAAACGTTGTTGGTAGACCGTTGATTTGTGATTTCGACATTGTTGTAGTTGTTCTTGTTGTTGCTTTTTGTTATTAATTTGTTAACACACAAGATTTTGATTTTGTACTATTTTGTTGTTATTGCAACTGACACACAAACACTGGGCCAAAAAACACAGGTAAATTATTAATCGGACACAAAACAACAATCGCCAGTCGGGCAAAGAGATAAGAAATGAATTCTCTCTTTTAATTAACAGCAACAAGAACACCAACTGTTCTTTTTGTTCTCTTTGTTTTTGTTGTTGTTTTCGTTTATTGTCGATTCGTATCAGAATTATTTATTATCCTATTGGAATGATATTGAATTGTTGTAGTGGGTGGTCTATTTCTCTCTCCCTCTCTTTTCTGTTGTTTATCAATGATGTCAAATAAAAATGGAATGATGATGAGAATGAGTTTTGAGTGTGGGGTTTCGTTGTTGTTTCCGTTTGTTGTTTTTGTTTCATATGCGGAAACACAAAGTTATTGTTTTGTACGAAAATTCCTATGCAGGGTTGCCTATGTGTTAAAATATACTAAGTTGGCAGTGGATTTACTTAAAATGTTGTGAAATTCAATTTCATCTGAATGAAAATTATATTCAGCCACTAAAATTCAGCTAATCAAAAAAGTATAATGAAAAGCTGATTAAAAATAATATTCACCTACTAAATATCATATCCAGCAGACAAAAAATATTATTCAGCTACTAAAAATATAATTCAGCTTATCAGAAAATTTATTCAGCTGAATTAAAACTACAATTAACCGAAAAAAAAACATTCTGATAATAAAAATCGAATTCAAGTGACTAAAAATAATATTCAGCAACTAAATATCGAATTCAGCAGATCACAAATATTATTCAGCTACGAAAAATGTAATTCACCTGATAGAAAATTTTATTCAATCAAATTCAGCTGAGTGATAACTACATTTCAGCTAATAAAAATCCTAATTCAGCTATTAAAAATCCAATTTAGCTAATAGAAAATATCATTCAACTATAAAATATTCAATTGAGCTTGTCAGGAATACAATTCAACTATTGAAAATTGAATTCAGCTATAGAAAATTGAATTCAGCTGGGTGAGAAAATAGTTTAGGTACCAACAATCGAAAATATCCGGACGATAATGTCATTCAGCCACTTAAAATTTTTATTAAATGATAATATAAATTATTCAGCTACTAAAAATCAATTTAAAATGACTAAAACAATATTAAGCTATTAAAAATCAAATTCAGCCAGTCGAAAAAATATTCAGTTAACAAAAATACAAATTCAGCTAGTCTGAATTGAAGATTTCCAATAAAAACTCTTATTCAGCTAAGTGGAAACTCCTATTCAGCTAAGCTAAATTAAATGTTTTTTCTATAGAAACTCTGGTTCAGCTAAGCTAAATTGAAGATTTTCTATAGAAACTCTTATTCAGTTAAGCTGAATTGCAGATTTTCTATAGAAACATTAATTCAGCTGGGCTGAATTCAAGATTTTCTATAGAAACTCTAATTCAGCTGGGCTGAATTCAAGATTTTCTATAGAAACTCTAATTCAGCTGAATTGAAGATTTCCTATAGAAACATTAATTCAGCTGGGCTGAATTGAAGATTTCCTGTAGAAACTCTAATTCAGCCGGGCTGAATTGAAGCTTACCTATGTATACCTTAATTAAGCCGGGCTGAATTCAAGATTTACTATAAAAACTAATTCACCAATTGTTCCCTTTTTTTCAATTGCTGTATCTTGGCAACCCCACATTTACCACACACCAAACTCTGTTTCTGCTTGTTGTTTCATTAGAAAAGAAACCAACAACACACTCAATACTCTTTTGCCACTCATTCACTAAATATGCTCACACTCTCTTCTTCTTCTTCTCTTTCTGTACAATAATACACTACTCTCGCACTTGTCACCTTTTCTTCTTCTATGTTTTTTTTTGTTGTATTGTGTTAATGAAAAACTGAAGAAACTGATTTCACTTTTTCCCCTTGTGGCTTATTTCGTTTCCAATTTGATTTGCTTTTTTGCAAATTTTATCACTTCACTGTTGCACATTCACGTTTGTCATGCTTTTGGGCGATATCCGTGTCTTGTTTTGCAGCGAAATTGCGTGAATTTATTGTTTATTTAATGACGACGAATGAAATAAAAACACCAAGAAAACACAACCAACAATAATACAAAAACCAACTCAATCAGCCAACCAACCGATTGAGAGAGCAGCGAGCGAACGGGAACAATTGTCAAACGAAGGTAAGACACACAGAAAAATGTCAGCTGTTGTCGACACTTACCAACACTGGGGTTATTTATCGATCTAAAATGGGAATTTGTTTTGATAAAAAAATATTATTTAAAAACAAATCAAACAGAAATTGCATCTTGAGAACTCTTAACAGAATCTACAGAATAACAAGATATAAGAATTACTCCATATATTTTTATTATTACATATTTAAACACACATATAAAAAATATATGAATAATAAATTCACAAAAATAAAAAAACAAAATTTTAAATTTTTTTCTCTCTTAAAATGTTATATTTTATAAAAGAAAAATATTTAAAATATATTCGAATTAAACAAGCGAATATGAGGGGCATTTGAAAAGAGTCTCAATTTAAATAATTTCATTGATCTTCGAAAAACAAAACAACAAATTCTTGTGTTTCAATTCCATTCCATATTCCCCTTCATTCATAAAAACAAAAATTTGAGAAAAAAAAATAAAAAACAACACAAAATCACGTTTCATTTAATTTTTGGGGATAATTTGCAAACCGGAAATTGTCAAAAAAAATAAATAAATAATTTGCATAAACAAATGTATACACACCAACAATGACTTTCTAAAATTAAACATAAATCTTCACAAACAAATGGCCATCTGACAAACCAAAAAAAATATACCAAAAATATTTTCAAATAATTTGCAAGCTAAAAATAACATAACCTACGCACGTGAATGCATAAAATGCTAATAATTGAAATATTTAAAGGAAAAATATTTTTTGTTCTTGTTCTTTACTTACCGAAATTGACTACGCCTTTCCAGAATATCTTGTACCCTGTTGCGACGCAATGGTACCGGTGAGGTACTCGGTGATGCTTCCTGCGATTCGGCGACCAGATTGCGAGCCATTATTAAGTCTTCTTCTTTCATGTTGTTGTTTTGGGTTTTTTATTTTGGTGTATTAAAATTGAAAATTTAATCAAATCAAAATTTATTGATTACGACATTCACTTGGAATTTTTTTTTTTATTTAAAATGTTTAGGGTTTCTATATAAAACAAGAATTGAACAGAAATTAAAAAATTATTGAAATAATTACTAAATATAAAAATACAATTTAAACCAAACAATTTTTGACTAATTAACAGAAATAATATCATAATAATCAGAAAATATTTTTGTAGAAAAAATCGTTTGAAAAAAATATATTAAAATAATTAAAAACCAGTAAGGAAAGTAGTAAAGTCGGACGGGGCCGACTATATGATACCCTTCACCACTATGGGTATATTAAACAGGACTATTAGCATGAAATTGGATGAAATAAAATATGTGATATTTATCTAAATGTTAATCTACGTAGATCTATCCATAAAGTATGTAAATCGACTTCAAACAAATATAAATGGGTCATCCGTTGGGCTATGTCTGTACTTCTAGAAAACGCAACTACATAATTCTATGCTCAATTTTGTACGTTGTGCAAAATTTGATGTCAAACTGACTAACATGAGGAGTTGAATGCCCAATTTACTTGAAATCGGGCGAAAATATATATGGAAGCTCTATCCAAATATTAAGCGATTTCAAACAAACTAGTGACAGGATAGGTTATACTAAATTCAGAACGTTTTGTTCCTATTGGTTCTTGGTGCGTCAATTACTTAAAATCAATCTATAATAAAATGGAGCTATATCTAAATCTGGACCGATTTTCACGAAACAACGCAGACATCACTCTAGGCTCAATTCAGTACGTTATGCCAAATTTTGTGCAAAACGAAAGATATATAGGGACTTTGGTGCAACATTTACATGAAATCGGAAGAAACTATATATGGGAGCTATATCTAAATCAAAACCGATTCGAACACAACTATCTATCTAGGCCCAATTTAGTACTCTGTGTAAAATTTTGTCTCAATCGGACCAAAAATTGAGGTATGGTACTCCATTTACATAATGGGAGCTATATCTAAAACTGAACCGATTCCAATAAAACTTCGCATACATCAATCCGAACCTAATTTAGTACTCTGTGCAAAATGATGTTATCTCAATCGGGCAAATATTCGGAGATTGGTGCACCATTTACATAAAATCGGACGAAACTATATATGGGAGCTGTATCTAAATCTGAACCGATTTTTTCTAATTTAAATAGGGTTCGTCCTTGGGCGACCTATACTTTGTCCACAAAAATACATGGACGGATGGACAGACGGACATGCATAAATCCACTCAGAAAGTGATTCTATGCATATTCTCAAAATGAACCATGGGTCTATCTCGATTCCTTTTGCCTGTTACAAACATATGCACAAAGATATAATACCCTGTACCACTGTGTGGTGAAGGGACAAATCTTTTCCATGAATACAAATTCTTCTTAACATAGGACATATTTTTTCATAAAGAAAAAATTGTCTTCTGATCTGAGGACGAATTTTTCCACTAGGGAACAATATATTTTGTCATGATGACAGGTTTATTTCTATTAAAAAAAAAATTCCATCGAACAGAAGGTATTTTTTGTACGAAAAAAAAACTCCTTTGGGAAAATATTTCCAATTTTTTTATGAAAAAAAACATCTGATCTGAAGACAATTTTTTTATAAAAATTTTTCATATAGATACAAATTCTTCTGACTTGAGGACAGGCTTTTATAGAGACAAAA